CGTGCAAAATGCAAAATAACCAGCATACGCGCCGAGCGTTTTAAAATGTTAGCGAAATTACTTAAACACATTAATTATTTAATTAAAAACTAAAACGTTTTATTTTACTGCCCAACTAAATTTTACGATTTAATTAGAACTAGTGCAGAATTCCTACAGCATAAAATAGAAAACATCGCGTTTGGCAAAGTGCGTATTTGTGCAATCCGTTGGATATTAATATAAAATATAAAATAGGTTTTCACGTTTCAACCCGAATGAATAATGCACGCTCGGCCAAGCGGCAGGAACAGATGCACCTCGCTGTGCAATATTTCCAATGGCACACGATGTCGATGTGGAAGCCGCCGTCGCCGCCACCACCACCACCGCCGGCGCTGGATGTTCTCTCTGCAGGTCGTGCAACTGTCCCGCGAGCAGCGCGCTTGAGCTTATTGAGGTCGTTCTGTTTTATTTCGGGTCTGCGGGCAGTGCACTCACTTTCTAAGTCGTCCGTCGCAGCGCGCCGCCAAAGCTTCTCAGCTTCTGTCTGATTCACGCTCATAAACGACGGCAGAGACTGCTATGTACCTAACACTCACTTATTACTATTAAGAGATTGTTATGTATGCAGGGACGTTGAAAGATGAGCAGATTTATTGCGCAGTAATAACGACAAATACTTTTCAAATCATTTTTTGCATCAAATCAGATTGAGAAAAGTAAATTTTTACATTTCCTATCTTTAAAAATAAATAAATTATGAATGTAAATGTAACAAAACATCAATACACCTCCCTAATATAATTATTTGTTATTAATTTAAATCTAAAGTTCATCATGCTGAAAACATAGATAAATCTCCAGCTGATGCATGTTTGCACCCGAAATTTGCTTTATTTATAAATTTCCGCTTCCCTCACCCCAAACGGACGTATCCCCGGATGTTGGGCCAAAATCATGACTCATCGCGTCGTCGCGTCGGCGGTGGCTGCACCTCTCACTGCAGCTCCAGCGGTGTTTCCCCCCGATGAGATCGAAGCGTCCCGACGCATAAAACGCGCTGCGACCAGACGTCGGCGGGTCTTTTACCGCCGCCACCGAGCTCAACAATTGCAACCCCGACTATAAAAAGCACACATTGCATTCCCATCCAATTTAATTCATCATGATCAGTGTCCTAACTGACAACGTGTCTGCTACAGATTGAAATAAATCCCGTGTACACTAAAATTCCTTATAAAGCCATATTTTTTTAAATAATGTACGCACGGATGTAATATATATTGATCTAACATATAAATTTTATCAGTCAAATATCACGATATCAGATCATAGATAATACAAGAATAAATATTGATCGTCGATGAATTTATGTAAATATTTTGCGTTTTGCTAGGTTGTTGCAATACATGTCTAAGCCTAGAAACGAATCGATAATGACTAGATTATTAAATAAGCAAATGCGATTTAGATTGCTGTGGCATGCAAATTTTTTTCGCCTGTTTGGCGAATAAGACCTACACACTACTTGTGGTCGTTGGATTAAGATACCCACACGTTAGAATAACTCTATTGCAATAGCAATAGCAAGAGGTGATGCCATTGAGATTTGCGAAAATCCAGTGACATGTGTTTCCAAGAATGTCATTAATATAATTATCTTATAATCAAAATACCTACTTCAACAATGCACTTTGATTTAAATCAAAAAATTATATAAAACGTAGTGCACTTAAAAATTCCCATCAATTAAATTCTATAAGTACTTATAAAATACATTCAATATTATCTGAAATTAAAGCCACCGAAATTAAATTCCCCCAAAAAATTAGCAGATACAAGATAAAAACAAAAACAGTCACGGTTGCATTCACGTTCTATGACTCTGGATGAATTATCGTCGTTCTCGTTTATATAATTTCGACTACACACATTTAATTAATTGGCGCTACTAATTATGCAAACTCAATTGGTGTGAATAAAAGTTTTCAAGTGCTTTCAAAGTTTCAACGAATTCTTGACGAACGGTACACCGTGTTCATGCTAATGCGCTTTAAAAATGTAAAACATGTTTTTCCAGAGAGCTGCAGAAAAGTTATTTTCGACGGCGGCGCCCAGCAGAAGTGGAAAGATGGTGCCATGGAGCATTAAAACAATTAAATTTTAAAATTAGAATCGATGTATAAAAGTGCCGTTTAAAAGTCGTAGACTTTAAAAGTCGGGTCAAATGAATTTTTCAACGTTTTCAATTTTATCAACACGTTACAGTTAGTACGGTTAACTTTACACTAATTGTGTCAACAAATATTATCAGACGACATTATTATAGCAAAAAAAATGTGTGGTTTAAGCGGTTCAGTATAGCATTCTAGTACAAATCATAAGCACACGTGTTCACAAATGTAAATAATACGCATTAATCTCATTAACAACCAATGTTTCAACATTGACCATTACCGAGTAAATATTTTACAAGTGCAGTAATGTGAACTGCATTATAATCTCTTATCTTTCGAGTTAAATCTACTAATAATTTCAGTGTCGTTAAACTATTATTTGCACTGTGTGTAACACAGATTACATAAAAGTATAGTAAAGTTTAGTGGAGTCGTAGTTCACGAGAATTAATTCAATAATTAAAGTTATGAATTAATTACTTGAGAACCAATAAACTTATACAAGTGCTTCCTTCTGATATTTGTTAAGCATTAAACTCGGTATCTTACTATGTAAACACTTTATTGATAACTGTTTTATATCAAAATATATGAGCTATATCATGTATTTATACAAATTTCAACTTTAATTGTTTATAACTTTTTGTAGAAACATGCAATCGACATAATTTAAACTCGATTGAATTTGAAATATAATTATTGACCTATTTCTTCAAGAATTATAAAGAAAACTTCCATAGTTTTTGAGTAATTCACTAAAAGCTTTGGATTTTGTTGAATTACCTATGTACAATAATTTATTCCAATTCAATAAAAATACAACTTTATCATGGTCAAACAAAATTCAACAAATATTCACAGCCATTGTTAATGGCACGCTTCAAAAAATATGTTCTATTGGTCTATTCCTATTGATCACCATCCACGGAAATGCAAATGTCCTGTTAAAGCTTTCCACGCACATTATGTGCACATGCACTGCTCACGTATGTGTGTAAACCGGAAAAACAGACGATAAATTAAAATAAACACATTATCGCCCCGACATTGGCCCGCTGGCGTGTTTACGATTTATCGAAAAACTCGAGGCACTTGACACCTCGATCAGTTTTTTAAATTTAGAAGTAGAAGCCCGAGTATGGCGAGGATGCGATTGATTAATTGTGCGCGCACACGCACCGCATGTAGGCAGTAGACAGGCAGGCGTTCATTGCACTATTTAACAATTCAATTTGCATTCGATACGTCGTGCGGAGTACATGTGTACAATGCGCAGAGCGTTTAATGACATTTGGAATCACTCTAGAGGCGCATAAATTTACGGAGAACACGCTGATTCATATTATTGACGACCCGATGCACGTATTTGAATAACAAATACGATTATATTGTGTTAAGTGTAGAAAATCGTTTCTTTAAACACTATCCTAGTTAAAGAAAAAAACAAAAACAACAAAAAGTGTGTTTGCACGTGTGCAAAATTTAAAAAAACACAAGTTAACGTCACAGAAACTCAACATTTGCATTGGTTTAGTTTGAAAACTGCGTGTGATGAATACGTACCGCGTAATACCTAGTCGTATGCGTGGGGTATTGTGTGCTAGTCTAATTTTATATCCCGTTCTTTAAACCCGCGCTCTGCCCGAGTTCGCTTTGCTTGTATTCTGCATGTGGTGCGCTCGCACTACTCGTGCCGAATTTAAACACATCTATCGCGAGCTTAAGCAAACACTTTGCTCACAGAACACGAACACCCATCACTTCGCACAACTTCACTTCAATCAACTGTGCGTCCGAATATTACACTGTCGACTATCTTGATTATTGTGCACTGGTTGCCCATTTAGGAACTGATTAATAAATGCAACACGTTTCGCAAGTGATAAGAGAAAACAAAACGAATTTTTTTATCACAATGTGATTGCAATAAAATATATACTTTTCCTGTCACTCCACACATGCGCAAATTTATATGAATAAGTGAATCATTGTTTTTTAGATATCTAGAGATAATAGCCTAATAATATTTCCTAGTTTGGTCTAAATACACAATTAAAGTATTGTTCACGTGTTTTTAGCTGTAAATCGTAAATGCAACCAACCATCTTAAATGCAATAAACAACCGATTAAATTTGAAACACGTTGCTATTTCTGAATCATAGCTGCGGTAATTAAAATGCAGTAATTATCCCCACTTGGAGTATATTCTATTGAAATTAATACTGACACATCAAAAACAATATCAACGTAAATTTGCATTGTAGACAAAAATCAATGCTTAAATACACAAAATGCCTAAAAGTATTAAAATAGTAATAGAAAAAAGTTAAACAATGAAATAAAATGAGTGTTTCAATTGATAAATTGATACCACTCGGAATAATTCGATTTTACATTGAAATGCAATCATTGCAATTAGCAACATTCGTCATTCTCTATCCATACTTCCAGTAGGAAGATATATTTAGCAATAAATTGCTGTTGTATGGCACGGTTGTTGTTTTCGTTGCGGGAAACGCACGATCACATAGCCATATACAACAATGGCGCAAATAACAGCTGTTTCGTGTAATGTGAAATGCAATACAGCACCCGCACGACACGCCAGGTTCGAATGTGAAGGACGAATGCCTTCGGTCGATTCCAATCCTCAAACGTTCTCCAAACTACACGAATCAACACATAATACTCAAGTAAATTCTTCAAATGATGAAAGAAAATACCAGCACCTAGTTCAACAACTCACTCGTAAACTGACCAATAACAAGAAAACAAAAAACAACAACACATCACGTTCAACTTATTAATCAACAGTACAAGTATAATGTTTGTGTACTCACATTAGTGCGTATGCGTCGAAACGAGGCTCAAATAATAAAATCCATTATGCTCATGATGTGATAGGAACCATTTGCAATTCCTTGGTGTATGTTGTCGGCGTTAATTAGTTCTGCTACATTCGGTTTCAATCTTGAAAAGGCTGGAAAAGCAAACAGAAACAAAACAAATGAATCATCGCCCAAAAAAGCGCAGGTATTTTTACTGTTATGCTAAAAATTTCGATTTAGACAAATAACAATTATAATTAACCACGCAGATCACACAAAATAACATTGAAATAAACAATTAATTTAACTAGTCGCACAAAACTTATAATTACGTGTCTGAAACAGGCTGTGTCGAGTTCTGTCCGAGTTATTAATTAATTATTCGAAAACAAAACACGCTACAATAAATAAACTTGCATATATCGATTCTGTATGAAATTCTACTAATATAGATTGATCTATGCTTGTATTACAACAACTTTTCAATTAGAATAATGGCAAAGTAAGTTACGTGCTAGTTGTGTATGCAGCTTGCATCAAGGATGATCAAGTGCACTATAATAGCTCTCACTTCTTGTTCTTACACACACATTGCTACTATATGTAAACTGTGTGAGTATATTTTCATAATATAACATGCACTGTATGCCAACATCCTTTCTGTATCGCTCCACGTTAGATTAGATTAGCAGTACACTTTCAATCATTCACTGTCACCAAATCAATGTCACAACTCGTTAAATACCATCATAAAGTCATCAAAGACAACAAGAAGACAATGGTTGATATTTCAAGCTAAAGAGTAGGTAATCTAACCTTCAATTTCTTACACCTTTTAAGACTTTCAACACCTTGCACACACTCAAACACTTTCACACCAACTACAAACGGCAAACATGAATATTCAGATCAACAACTAGATGTAAATGAACAATAGGAGTATTTACGGTAGTTAACGCTGACGTTCAACTGTTTTTTTGTCTTCTCTGCATGCGTTCCGTTGTTTGTCCCACAAGGGTCGCGCACTCCGGATTGATTTGCAATTTAAGCCACTAGTGCAGTTTCCGAATTTCAAGCCGCCTCACGTGTGGCGATAACGTACGCGAGGATTACGCGGCGATCGCGATCATCACCGTTACGCGACGATTATTTACGTAATTAACTCTTTCGGTGCGCTGGCGCGAAGATCGGGACGCGGTGCTAGCTGCGGAGTTGGTTTTTGCGTTGTGCAACGCGTCTCCTGAGGCGCAGGAGGAGCTCCGCCGACGGGCCGGACACGGCAGGAACAACAACACAACACTTCACGGCTGTTCGCGACGGAGGGCAGCGGCAACTGACACAACGAAACGGACGCGACCGACGCAAATCGCCGAATGCGGCGAGCCGTCGACTGCAATCCGATCGTTATGGATCGTGACTCATCGGGGCAGAGCGGGGACGATTCTTGCGATTCTTTTGCTTCCAACAATTGTTAAATTCAAGAAATGCGTTTTGCAACAACTAAAATCCTAGTACTACTCTTTGTATTTATTTTATTTATAGAAATAAAAATTATTTTTATTTTACTTAGAAAAATTGTGAGTAATATAGGCAACCAAACATACAGCAAATCTTTCATATAATCGTTCATCAACCTCAAGCACTATAAATGCCGCTTTATGCGAAATAAAATAACTTTAAATATCAATGAACACATTATAATCATTATTTACGTGTATTTCATATGAACAGTACGAAATCACCACAAAAACACATACTCCAATTGTTGTACAATCCAAATAAAACCGAAAATTACGTACAATCGCTACCAGTACATGATTTAAATTTAAATGCGCCTTAATTATTTTTAGTCTCTTGCACTTATTGTAATCAATCTCAGTGAACCGTGTGTGAATGTCCAAAAGACCCCGACAAACATTCAAACAAAAAAAAGTACGTAAAACAAATAACAAACAATTGAACTAATTAATACTCCCGACTTAATTGTATTTATTTTGGTATCGACGGCCGCTGCTCCAGCAACTCACTTCCACATCTGCTTGAGCGCCTTGCGTCTCGACAGTTTCTTGCTCACATATGATGCTAGAGTCAACGCAGCCAAGACCATCACAATCAACCAATGATCAAAGTCCTCCTTGAGAACATCGAAACTCTTCGACGGCGTCACCCTGGTATAGAACAGATCCATTCCCCAGACGACCACCAGACTAGTACTCTCCAGCTTGGCAGGAGACACCTGTATACCAGTAATCCTTCCTAAAGTTTGATTATAGTTTATCATGTTTTCCGTCTGCACGGGCAACTCTGGCATGTAGGGGATGGTACCTTCCTCAGGATTGGAGGGCATATGTGGTCCACGCGGTTCGAGGAAAGCCCAGGGCATTTCTAACACAGCCCCAGATGACATACCGATAAGAATGTGTTTGTTGGTGATGCCGCGTTCGGTTTGGGTGGCTAGCATTGTCACCGGATTGATAGGTAAGATGTACGAGAGTGTTTCTGGATGTGGAAGTTGACTCAACGCGTGCGAACTGAAATGAGTGCTATTGCTCTGACGTGCTCCTTCGTAGAGTTCCACTGATGTGACTTCATAGCGTCTGTAACGTTCGCTGAAGTACGAATACACCAGCCAGTTTTCTGAATGCACCATCTGCACTGGACCATTGGCACGTTTATGATGCGCCGAATAAGTAATCAAACCTGTAACGCCATCAACAAGATACACGCTCAATACATGTCGATGCATAACATCGGGGGCCACAGTTGCCACAGCTATCAAATTCGGATTTACGTATTTGTAGAATACTGATCTATCCGCTAGCACCCTTCCTTGTGAATGCACGCGTTCGTTCGCAGGTCGCACCGCAATCGCCGTCAGCGTTGAACCAGATAAGTTAAGTTGCCATGTCCTCGTCGCTCGCAACGTATTCTCATCGGAATAATGCAAGGCGTATCCTTGTAGAATCGATTTATCAAAGTCTGCATTAAACATGAACGTCGACGCCGCATGCTTCACAACCATTTCCCTACCAATAGGTGGATAAACGTGTAATTCGTCGTTGTCGGCTAGTAATACGATTGATTTTAAATGCGTTTTATCTTCGTAGGGCAACAGCATGGCCTGTTTAAGTTTATATTTTAATTGCGTTTGTTCCTGGAGAGTTTTACCAGTGATCGGATCGAATGAATATAGAACTGCGCGGTCGCTTCCCGGAAGCTTACCAATTAGCGTCATTTGCGCCGAGTGCGGTGCGTAACGCGCAGTGCGTTGCTGATGCAACACGTACATGAGACCGCTGGCGCTCCCAGTGAGTGGAACGGTTCGATGCCGGCCAAATGATGTGACCAAACAATCTCACCGGTGATCGTGTCGATTGCGTAGAGTTTACCGACTCTTGTTGCAAGGATGATCAACTTGTGCAGACCGAAGACATCGCGTACCAATCCACTGTTACTGCTTGCTTGTGTGCCGTCGAAATAGGTTGATACTTGACGCATTTGACTTGTGATTCTCTTGATAAACATGCTTACGATATCGCTGGCAGCTTCGGTGAATTCACGCTCAATCGACGCTTCCAATTCTGATAGGGGAAGTTCAACAAACTCGGCGACTAGAACATTGCTGAGAGCTTCCTCGCGCTGCCATTGCACTTTTCCCGATGGTAACTGAAGGAGACCAATGGTGTCGTCGTTGGTTGTAAAGAGGACTCTACAATTCGCTCCTCGACATATCCCAGTGACCATTTTCGGATGAACTTCGCTTTTTAGTTCCAATGCTGTCACGGTATTCTCGTTGGTGTCTATGTCCATGCCCTTCAATTGCATCGCCTGGGTTTTAACATCATACTCAAACTGCATGAGCAGGTTCTGATCGCCGTTGGTGACACTAATAACGCTAGATTCTAGTGAATAAGGCAACGTTTTCAGTTCCGCGCCGAGCACCACCAGCCGGTGTACATCGTTGCGTCGGATCAGCACGGCCGGCTCGGAATGTTGGATCTCGTGGATTTGCACCGTCCCGCTCACATCGCCGATAAAGTTACTTAATAAATTATTTCTTACTTTAGATAAGTCACCAGCCAAGTCAATAAAATACAAGTTCGCATTGCTGGAAGTCGACGACAAGCACGCCCAGACTGTATTAGCAATGGCACAGTTTGACAAGTCCACTACCCATGGTGTTGAGATCCTGGATGTTGTTCCCTTGTTCAGTCCGGTTTTCAAGTCGTACAGCGTGACTTCGAGATGTGAATTAACCACCGGTATTAAATGAATAAGCTGATTTTTCGATACGATCCACCTGCTGTTCGAGCGCTCGGTGGTTAAACTCCATTCTGATAGAAGTGTGCCTGCATTCAGGTCCCAGGTGCGAATGTAGTAGGTATTATTACCGCCCGACACCGTCAGCACCTCGGTGTCGACCTGCAGGAATTCAATGCGATGTGTTTCGGGTGATTCCAGCAACTGCCGCCACACAATCTGACCGTTCTTGAGGTTGATCGAAGCTAGAGCATTCTCCTCGGTCGCAATCACAACGCGCTTCACAGAATCAAAGCCTGCGAACCGCAACCGGCCAATAAACGTCTTCTTCCAGTCGAACGAGCCGATTTGGTCTTCGTATAAGCATTGCGATAGTTGCACTATTGTTAGTAATAATATAAAAGTATTAAATATCGATTTAATTATGGCCATTTCTGCTGTATCACATCGTTACTGTACTGAACATAACCTATCACTGCGGCGAGCTATCGTCGGACTCGACGTGCTCCCTCACTCTATCAGTGAGCACCGCGCACGAATCTTTATCTTTGTTTGCCAACTTCGTGGCAGGGCGCATCAGCATGATATAAAGCAGCGACCACTTTCGTAAATATACAGAACTAATCTCTATCTAGACTACAGTTTCGTTTGAATTTTAGTTTTATCAAACCGAGAAAGTATTTCAGAATAGAAAACACACACGTACTATGGTATTTTTAACATTCCTATGAGAAAATATGATATAGAAACTGACCCTTTACAGAGTGTCCCTATCTGCCTAACAAAATCTGCATTTTCTCCTTGAACAGGAGATACCTTTGACTGAGGGCCTTTGTTTTGGGTTTCTTTTTGTTATATAACTATTTGATAAACTTTATAACACAAGTACATTCTTTTCACATCTTAAACCTGCAGAATGTGCTCTGTGTCATTTTAAACATAAAGCAATTAGATTAGAGATCTTTTTACATCATTCGCACCTTTTTAATTTTGAAACCCTCACAGTACTCTACAATGCTCCCTTATCCTTTTAAAAAGTATGTAATTTGATGCTACAGAGGATTCTGAGCATTCTAAACAAGGTTTTCTAAATTTCAGAATGAGTACTTATCATTTTGGGGATTTCCTGTTGGTTTGGGGAATGCAAACACTTACAAAATCGATATTAATCATTTAATATCAGTTTAGAATACATATCACATAGGATAATTATGCATAATCATATATAAAAATTGTACAATACCAATCTTATACTCTTGCGATGCGTTATCATCGCCACTCGCCGTCGTTACAAATTAATACATAATATAAAAAGCTACAGCTAGAATTCCTTATTTATGGACAGATCATATGATACATAGTCAAAGTCATGTTTATAGAATATCTTATATGAAAATTCGTTTCGTTTACATTCCTCCCCTAAAATAACGTTCAATAAATATTTCATACTTATTCGCTCACTAACTAATTAAAACCTCGCTTAATTAAAAGAAAACCTATATAGACACAAAGTTTACAATGTGAAATTGCATCTGAAAGAAGGTGTGTATCAGTAAAGAAGTAAATATTGCTATGTTGAGATTATCGTCCAGTAACAAATCTTTACACAAAAAAGAGACCTTAGAAAGCAAGTAGAGTAATTGAAACGAACACGTTTCGGCGTATTTCGTTATCATCTTACGTAAACTATATAAAATCAGCGTATGCGTTACATTCTACACGTACTTTTACGATTTTATTTGACATACTTTTGGCAGTGCTTAGCATGGCATACAAAAATGTACAAAGTATTAACTAACGTCAGCTCCCTCATCACTTACACTTAATTAATGCATCGGAGTAAATAGTTTCAAGTACGTCTTTCGTCGTGATATGCGCGTGTAATAAATAAATACCTCAAATTCGTGAATTATTTGAAGGTCCGTTGATTATTCGAATGTGATATGTACAAATAGTTGCTATATGTACACAATGTTCTTGTCTGGGAAGTATAAAAAGCAAGAGTGGTCGAAAAATTCCTCGAAAAGTACAGATTACAAATACGGTCAACATGCATAGAAAAGACAATGGGCTTCGATACATTAGACTTCGTTGAAAAATACGTTTAAGGCGTTGGGT